AATAATCAAAGTGAAGAAACTTGCATTTTTCGACAGGTTTTTGAATTTTCCCCAAATTTTTGTTGTTGTTTTTTTGCCTCAACCCCTTTCATGCCCATAAAGAAATCATTTCTGTGTGGATTTTTCTGAAAAACGTAGATTAAAGGCACAAAAAATTAAAATGTTCTGTTACCACGGACTCTTAAGCTAAGGAAATAACTCATCTTTGGCAACCATTTTGACACTAATTTTACCTCTGAAAACAGGTGACCCCACCTCCTTCATTAGCAAATATCTCGACTTGTATTCAAGATAAATGGATATTTTTTTCATTTACATAAAGACAAGTGAACCAGCTTTAAGATGATACCAATAACTCTACATGCCCAAAAATTGACGAGAGCCTGATTCCACCACGCTGCCTCACATATAGAGCAATATTCTCTATATATTGTTCTATATTGTGTGGAACAATATTCCTCAACAGTTTGTCCGACAAGTTTATTCAATGAGGCGAAGCTGCTCTGCTGTCATCGACGTCAACGGCGGATACAAATATAATACGCGTTACTGAATTTGTGACTTTTCTTTTGGTTTTCAACATCTCTTGCTAAAACAGGCTTGTAAGGTAAATCTCTGTGTTAATTTAATTGATTTAGTTCACTTCGGCTTATACATTGGGTGTATCAAATGCTTCAATTAAGAAGACTCATTCCCGTCTCTGTAAAAAAATAATAATACAAAGGACTTTTGATCGAGTGTATAGATTACACTCACTCTTCTGTTTTTTGTCTGTTTTAATTTTTTTCTAACTCCAAATGATCACTATTGTGTCGCTGTGTGTCTCTTTACTTAAAAACGACAGCAACCCGCTCAAACCACCACCCCCCAGAAAAAACAAAGCAAAAACAAAACAACAAACACTGAAAAAGAAACAACAAATTGAATGAAGGGAGAGGGAATGTGTGTTGCTGTGCCTTTTACAAACGACGTTGGGGAAATATCGTTACAGGTTGGGAAAAAATGTCTTTAAAATAGGATCTATCACGGTGTGGAAGGATGTACACTTTATCAATTTGTCTGTGACCGAAAAATAATATTGAGTGATTAACGATTGACTGTCTGTGATTGATCGGATAACAACACCCACGATTTTGAGCTGAATGCATGCTATTTTGGTTTCTCTATTGCTTTTGTATTTTTGTTTGGTCCCATAGTTATTACTATTTGCTGCCTTCTGTTGTATACTACGGTGGTAATTAATGACGATGAATGACGATGGTGACAACGACGACGACGACGATGATGATAATGATGATGATGATGATGATGATGATGATGATGATGATGATAATGATGATGATGACGAT